AGGGGGGCGGACAGAGGATCCGAAGCAGGCTCTGTGCTGACAGTAGAGAACCTGATGTGGGCCTCGAACTCACAAACAGTGAGATCATGACCTGAGCCAAAGTCAGATGCTTAACCGACTGAGCCACCCAGGCGCCCCTGCATTCTCATTTCTAATAATTTTGTTTCATCCTTCTAAGCTGTGTGTATTATCTTCCTAATGGCTTGTTTGCTACAAATCTTGAAGAAAACATTCACTAAGATAAAAGGAAAAGTGAAGATACCTTGAAAGGGGAAAACCACTTAAAGGATATGTTCTAATCCTTTCCCAAGATGGAAGCTGTTCCCTCAGAAGTGTTGGAAAAGGAAGGTAGATGATGTAACATGAAGCTGGGTGTTATGTGGGACAGGAAAGGAGGATGGGATCTGAACTCACTTGTCCAAACACAAAGTATGATATTTCGTGAGACAGGGCCTTCACGAAAACTCTCTCCATTCTTTAAATCCTTTTTTTTTTTTTTTAAATATTTGTTTATCTTTGAGCTAGAGAGAGCACGCACTCACGTGCGTGCACGAGTGGGGGAGGGGCAGAGAGAGAAGGGGACAGGGGATCTGAAGTGGGCTGTCAACACTGAGCCGGATGAGGGACTCCAACTCACAAATAGCGAGATCATGACCTGAGCTGAAGCTGGACACTCAACCGACGGAGCCACCCGGGCTCCCTCTCTCCATTTCTACTTCCCCTTTCAATTCCCTTTCTTATCTCTCCCCCCAAAAAGGGTTGCAATGTTGTATTCTCTCCCCCCACCTCCCCTGCTACATGCAGCCTCCCCGCCAGGCAGCAGGGAGAGTTGAGGGAAGGTTGAGGTCTGGGTTCCCTAGTTCATACTGTCTTCCTGTCTATCGGCCAGCATAGATCCTAAATCTACCAGCATAGTTGACAGAGATTGGTCTAAAATCACATAAGGAAAAGCAAATACGTCCAGAAACTGGACCAAATGTGAGCCACAACAGTGCTTGAAATCAGCCACAGACACTGTCGAGCTGCCTTCTGTTCTTTATGTAAAATTTTCAGGTTTTTTTCAGCAATACAGAAAGTACAAGTTGCTTTATGAGGCTCTTCTGTCTCCCGTGGAGTCTCCCACGGCTGGTCAGATTGTGCCTCCCTCCTCCTCTTCCCCCTCCTCTGAAGGGTTTCCCCCTGAAGCCTCTGCCCTCAGTTCCTGACCGTTCTCAGAACGGATTTCTCCAGGGGTGTGGGCACTCCTCTCCATCCACGGCCACTCGGTGCCCCCAGAGGCTCTAGAGAAGGGGGTGGTTGGGATGACAATTAAAGACACTTGACTCCAAGCGTATACTGGACACCTTGCTCACCTGTACACACACACACCACACGCACACATATTCTTTTAACAAAGCCCACCATGAGATTGGTATACAATAGCAGTTAGCGGAGATAAGCAATCTCGCTTTGCCATGAATTGCTGAGCATTTCCTGACAAGTAACTGAAATACTGAACCAAGGAAACACAGTGTGGGTAGCCTAACTCCTTGCTTCCTCATGTGTCGTGCAGATTTTAATAGAAGGTGTGCTGGGCCAGGGAAACACAGCCAGCATTGCACTCTTTGAAATCAAGATGACAACCGGCTACTGTATCGGTAAGTGGGCTTCATTTTCAGTGCATCGGAGCGTGAATCTCTTTCTAAAATCTGTTGCCAGAGGGAACTGAATCAATCCTGAAGGCAAAGTATTTCATAGAAGTCAGCGCATCATGCATAGTAGTTCAGATGCTTTGCGAGGTTCACTTGAATGGTATACGTTGTGTCTGTCTATGGCGGAGGAAGGCTCCTTGGGGTTTGCCCGGATCGGATGGATATATAAAGGAAAAGTAGATGCCACTACTATAATTTGACTTACTTCCTGAACCTCAACATGCTCTATTAAAAATAATTTCCGGTTTGCTAGGAACTCAGGTTTTGCCAGAAAAGCGGGCATCCTATTCCCTTCTTTCCTCAGCTTACTCCTTTTCTCTCATGCACACCTCCGCCCCTGTCTTAATGTCACCGTTGTTGCTTAGATGCCCCGGGAGCAGGGCTGGTTGGGTGCCTTTTATGTGCCGGCTTCTGAGAGGGTGCAAAGAGAAGACACAGTCTTTGCTCTGTGGCCGCTGGCTCACCTTCTGTCCGTCTGCCCCTGGCACTATTTCTGTCTATGATGGGTGCTCCTGGAGAAGGCCAGGCCAGGCTGTGGGGGTGCATGGAGGAGGAGGACAGGAATCTGACAGGACTGAACACCAGCGATGCATTTGAGCTGGGGTTTCATGAAGCTGGGGCGGCATTTGGTCAAGTGCAAGTGCAGAGCAGGAAGGGAATAGCTCTCTATGGGTAGACCCCAGAAGGGAGGAAGCAGAGGGCATTCTCAGGCTCAGGTCAGAAGCTGAGTAGGGTGTCTGGAGTTAAATCAGGACTGTCAAGGGAGTCTTAAGGAAGAGTCTGGATCTCAGCCAGCCAGCCAGGGAGTATGGATGATTCCATGGTTGGCAGGGGCTCGGAGTGGGCAGAGGAGGGGCCTGAGGCTGCCTCTGGCTGTCCCATGGAAAATGACGTGGAAACAAGGAGAATATATAGGAGAGGAAAACCCCCAGGAAGAGGTTGTAACATTACAAACGGGGCACCATGAAGGTCTAACACTGGGCTTGAATAGGGAAAAGGCGGTAGATTTGAGAGATTTTTTGGCACTGACAGTCTTTGGAGGTTGAATGGCTATGGAGAGGAAGAGGAAGGAGAGTCAGAGACAGTTCTGAATAAAAAGGAGGCTTTGTTGATTTCCTGAATCTCACCTGTCTGTTCTGACCTTCCAAGTGTAATACTAAGGCAAGTGAAAGAAAGCGGAGGGGGAATGTGACCATGTTCTGAAGTATGGGGGGGAGGGGGTTAGACCCATGCGCCTCCTAGTAGCTCCCACCTCCACTCGCTGTGCCCCACAGCCTCTGTTTCTCCACCTGTAAAATGGAGATAAAATGCTTCCCTCACAGGAATAAGGTGGAAACTGATGTGGTCAAAGGTATCAAGGTGACTGACACAGTGCTGGGCACTTTAAAAATGTTAATTTCCTCTCTTCAATTTCCTCTCTTTCCTTGCTCAAATGCTTCCTGTGTGTTAAAAAAACCAAAGGAGTCTCAATACCTTTACCCTGTTGAGATGCAGGAGCCCACCGTCCCCTCCCTCAGCTTTCTTTCTGTGCATTCCCTTTGCTGATTTCCTCTACAATAAGGTTAATAATAGTACCTACTGTTGAGGATTAATTCAGTTAATTCAGATAAAGTGCTCAGAACAGTACCTGGCACATGAAGGACTATTTTGCTTTTTATTTTATTGTTCAGCAGAGCCTTTGGTACTGAATGTGTGGCATCACTTAACAGAACTGCAGTGGTAAAGTTGCAGCTAAAAATCTTAAATTCTTTAAGGGATGGCTAATGTAAAAACACATCGATAACGGTATCAGTCAGGGTCCCAGCAGGAAAGTGGAATCAGAAGGTCCATTCAACCTGAGTAATTTGAAGAAGCCTCTTTAGGGGCTACAAGGGTGTGGGTGGGTAAAGGAAACCGGCAAAAGCTTATGTGGTAATCCAGGACTAGTAAGAGCAATGATTTATCAGTCATTAGGGCAAGAGAGGAGGGGCCACCAGAGCCTGGAGCCAGTGGCTGTGTGGTGAGGGCTCTTGACAAGACCTATGCCCTCAGGAGAGGGACACAGCCAACCCATGGTGACCTGGCAGGGCTGGAGCTGGAGGAATGAACACCACCAACCTTGTTCTCCTCCAACTTTCCATCGGTCCAACCCAACTGGAAGCCAGACGGCAGGGGAGGCCATTGATACAGTCCATACAAGTCCACCTCTGAAGGACAAAGCAGAGTGAGAAAAGGTAGGGGCGGGGTCTGCAAGGACAATGAGAGACGGCCAGGACAATCATACTTCATATTTTTAGTTGATGATTATGGGAGTCAATGGAGGCACTGGTTTGTGAACTTCCTATTCCTTCTAAAGGAGTCTGTTGACTGGGAACAGTTTATCTGCACAAACATGTCAGTGCTACTAAATGTAGGGGGTGGGTGAAGTCTCTTCATTTTCCCTCTTGTCCTTTCAGTAGCTGCAGAAGGACCCCGAGCCTAGGATATGCCTTCCTTGTCTATTCTATTTTTTATTAATAAGAAAAGCAGAGGGTGTTAGCATCTAGGAAACATGTCCTTTAGCCCCGGGTATCTTGTCTACCCTCTGGAGCTAGGAGAGTAGTCCTAAATAGGGCTTTGGAGCCGACGTGACTGACCCACCAAGCACTAACCATTGTGCTGGGAGCTGTCCACATTTACGACAGCCCTGTGTGGTGGGAGTGATCCTCTCGTTTCACAGATGAAGAAACAGAGGCTAAGAAAAGTCATGCTGTAAGCCACGTGGCTAGCAAGTGGACAGGCCATAATCCAAAGACGCAATGATGAATCACAACTTCCAGTATTGTCCAGGGATACTGGTGCAGAACTTCCCACGGTCAAAGGGAAGGAGAAATCTTCCCTAAGAGCAAACCCTGCAGTGAGCATGGAGATACAAACCTCGCTGTGACTGTGCCTCCACAAAGTGTGTCTTTCTTTCTTTCTCTTCTGCCAGAATGTGACTTCGAAGAAAACCACCTGTGTGGCTTTGTGAACCGCTGGAACCCCAATGTGAACTGGTTTGTCGGAGGAGGAAACATTCGGAACTCCCCTTCCATTCTCCCGCAGGATCACACCTTCAAGAACGAACTAGGTGAGCTGGGGACAGATGGGGTCCTTTTCCCGGAATAAGTGTTTCTGCCTCTTCCCCCGTCCTGTCTACATTGACCCAACTGTGGCCTCGTCAACAGAGAAGGAAGGGGAAGGGAGGGTGAGTATGCGCCTGGAGGCCTCTAGAAAGAGAGGAAAGAAGGGGCCATGAGATCGAGACAGACAGCAGACAGAAGCTCTCTAGCCAAGGAGAAGGCCACCCAGTTCAAGGCTTTCCTGCACCTGTGACCTGGTCTTGCTATTTTCACATTTCCATATTATGTTTTACTTTCTTATGTTTGTTGTTCGATATTTCTTATTTCTAAAGACCAGGCTGGAATGATCCTAGGTCACTTTTCACTAAAGACAGATGGAGTGGTGGGAACAAGTCCTTAAGAATTTCCCAAGTGGCCCTGAGGTGAGCCTAAATGACCAAGGAGGGATCCTGAAAGCGGGGTGCACCAGGGCCACCTAGTGGCCACGTGGACTGTGGCCTCTGCAGGAAGATGGAGAGCAGAGGCTATTGGTGACAGGTTGCCTTTGAGGAGAAAGCTTCCACAGAAAGGGAGACACGGGCCGAGGGCTTATTCCTAAGGATTACGACAGCCCTCACCTGGACCCTGGTAGGCTTCATGAAAGCCGCGGTCTCCCCACAGTTGCAAGCCATTCCAGCCCTCAACCCCAAGGTCTTGCCAACGAGCGAGATTCTGGTAACTGACTCTCCATCGACAGCAAGAATAGGAATTTTGGTTCTGTGGCAAACAGCGCTTTTGTCTACTTTGATCTGTTGCCGTGTGGATACTGAGGTCATCTGCTCAGTCCCGATAAATTGCTGACGATGACACTGTGTCCCCATACCTGAAGGCATGCCGGCTTGTAAAGAACATGTTCTTCCCTTTGCCGCTCATCTGTGGTAATTTATTTTTATATGTATATTTGTAACTTTGTCTCTAACCGTTTTTCAAGCGGCCATGCTGCAGCTTATCTTGGCTCTAGACGGTCTCCATCCTGACCTTATTGCTCCCTTTGCTCCGGTTCTGTCTCCTTTATATTCAAACTCACACTCAGTTTCCTAAAGGAGCCAGGCGGATGTTATAAAGTGGGCAACATGGGGGCTGGGGGAGGACTGTGGCAAACTAGAGAGTGCATACCCTGTACGAAGGGTCCTCAGCTCCGATCAATTGCTGCCAATGTGAGAATGCAGGTCTGGGGGGGGGGTGGGGCACAGATCTTTTGATTTCTTAAGATAATCAGGAAGGCAAGGGTTTTATATAAAATTTCTCAAATTTTTTAAAGTTGGTAAATATTTTCTTTAAAAATACTGCATGAGCCATTAAAACACATCCTCTGGCCAGGCCCAGTTAGCCAACTTCTATCTCGCAACCTTCATTTTATATATTCCTTTTCTTTTTCAACATGTCCAGTACAAGATGTTTAGAAGTAACTGCATATTAAAAGGTTGGAGCCTCCTGGGCTCACCTGTTTAAGACAAATCCAACTTTGGATCTAGCATTTTCATTCATTTGACCCTGTACGGGGGCTGACTGGAAAAATAGCAATAAAATGGCACTTCTCCTAAGGTCCTTGCCCAGTTTCAAAGAACATGCATCCGAGAGAGGAAAAAGATTTCTATCACACCTGGATGTAAGACAAGGTAGCCTGTGTCCAGTGCTCTAAGCGTGGTCCCCCACTTTGGTCAAAAAAAGAAAAGTCTGGGTATTCAGAAACAGGAGGGATCACTTGTTCCTTGGATGTCCTAGAAGACATGATAAAAGTCAACTGCTTTTGAGGGATGGGTATGATCTTGACAGGCAGAGACAAGGCCTCACATGCCAGGAAAGAGATTTTAACTTTATTCTGTTGACAATGGGAGGCCATCGGAGAGGCCTCTGAGCTGGGAGAGAAGCGATCACAGCAAAAGGTATTAGGTTGGTTAACCAGACACTGATTACTCAGTAGAGGGAAGGCCAAATGGTAGAACAAGAGAACAAAAAACACCCAGAAATGATTTCTTTAGATACATCTAAGGTCACTTACATAAATAATTGCGATTACAAAAGACAAAACATTTTCACTTCCTTCTTTTAAAAGGAAGGGTTAGCACTTTTGGAAATGACGAAAGATTGGGATATATATATATATCCATATTATGGCCCTCCAGAAATATAGCCCGTTTCCACTTGTAGGAACCACACTGTAATTGACTGTCATGTGTTGAGTGGGTGATAACCTAGCATGTGACAGATTAATCCATGAATCTGCATGAGTATTTTATTTTTTTAAGTTTATTTATTTATTTTGAGAAAGACAGAGACTGCATGAGTGGGGGAGGTGCAGAGAGAGGAGGAGGCAGAGAATCCCGAGCAGGCTCTGTGCTGTCAGTGCAGAGCCTGACATGTGGCTCGAACTCAGGAAACTGTGAGATCATGACCTGAGCTGAAACCAAGAATCAAATGCTTAACCAGCTGAGGCCCCCAGGATCTGCTGTGCATGAGTATTTTAAATAACAGCTGGGTTTCAGGGCACCTGGGTGGCTCAGTCGGTTAAGCGTCCAACTTCAGCTCTGGTCATGATCTGATGGTTCGTTCATGAGTTCAAGCCCCGTGTCAGGCTCTATGCTGACAGCTGAGAACCTGGAGCCTGCTTCAAATTCTGTGTCTCCCTCTTTCTCTGTCTCTCCCCTGTTCACCCTTTCTCTCCCTCTCTCTCTCTCAAAAATAAATAAATATTTTTAAATGTTTAAATAAATAAACAAGGGGCGCCTGGGTGGCGCAGTCGGTTAAGCGTCCGACTTCGGCCAGGTCACGATCTCGCGGTCCGTGAGTTCGAGCCCCGCGTCAGGCTCTGGGCTGATGGCTCGGAGCCTGGAGCCTGTTTCCGATTCTGTGTCTCCCTCTCTCTCTGCCCCTCCGCCATTCATGCTCTGTCTCTCTCTGTCCCAAAAATAAATAAAAAAAATTTAAAAAAAATAAAATAAAAATAAATAAATAAATAAACAAATAAATAACAACTGGGTTCATTCGAAGAACAAAACGTTAAGACAACCAACATAACATTCCACCATATCTCAAGAATACAGTACAGAGAGCGGAGAGAATCTTGAAAGACTAATACATTAAAGTTGCTATAATCCCTGGTGTCATTATCATAGATGTCCAAACTTAAATATGGGGAAATATTAGAGAATCTTTCCCAAATCACTTAAAAATTAGTTCCAGAGGCAGATATTGAGTAATCAATATCACGATCTAATGATTACTTGTTCAGTACATCATCTGTCTTTTTTCTATATAATCTCTACACCCAGTGTGGGACTCACAAGACCAGGATAAGAGTCGCGTGCTTCACCAACTGAGCCAGCCAGGTGCCCCGCATTATTTTTCATCCTCAGCGATGGTGGGGACCAGTTGGCTCAGAACACATATATCTTGGGACAGGCAACAGATCTGTGCCCTACTGTTGGGTCATGCATTTGACTGTGTCACTTGAGCGTCATCCATCCTCTGAGGAGTACATCACCCTTAGAACTTCCTCACTCTCATCTGTGACCCTGAAACATGCTGACCATATGTGTGTCAACAAAGGCCAGAGAAAGAGGACCAGGCAAGGAGTGGAACACTTGTTCTCCAAACCTCGTTATCCGCTTTGGGTGATCCCTCAACTTCTCGGGCTTGGAGTTCTAGTGTTTTATTCCTAAATGCTATCCATCAAAATCTCCAAATTCACCACTCATTGTCACTGGAGGAAAATAAACAGGGGAAACCCTGAGCTAAAGAAAGTTCAACAGATTTCTTTCTTTCAGGACTTCTCAGTGCCTTTCTTTAATACAGTTCTTTGTTAATGTATATTATGGCATTTCTAAAATTATTCAAATGTAAATTTGCACAGTGATGCATGACTAGCAGAGATGTGAAATAAATGATACGGGACCACAGAAAAGTGAAAAATCACCTTGGTTTTGGGATTCAGGGAAAGCTTTCCAGAAGAAGAAATCTCAGAACTGTTATTTGGCTAGATCAATAAGAAGCATAGCATATGCAAAGGTGTAGAGGCATAAGAGTGGGTACTCATTCAGTAGTTGGAGGGTGTTTGAGAATGCTGAGACGTAAGATGATAGCAGAGTAGCTCCTAGACCTACGTTATGTTCCTGCTTGTGATGAACTGGAAGCCTGGGTGCCTAATCCTACTTGCTCCTCCTGGATCTCTGCTATTTCATTTCCATTTCTCTTGAGCTTTGACACTGATTATTTTATTTTATTGTATTGTATTTTATTGTATTTTATTTTATTTGAGAGAGAGTGCGAGTCGGGGAGAGGGGCAGAGGGAGAGAGAGAATCCTGAGCAGGCTCTGTGCTCAGTACAGAGCCCAACACAGGGCTCGATCCCACGACCCTGGAATCAAGACCTGAGCTGAAATCAAGAGTCAGATGCTTAACTGACTGAACTACCCAGGCACTCCCTACACTTATGTTTTTGACCAATAGTTGCCAGACAGCCGTCTCATCCTCACCCAGTGCACATACACACATGTATGCACACACGCGTGCACACACACACTCACACTCCCCACACCTGGACTCCTATATAAGGCTTCCTCCTACCTGGAATGGAGCTAAAACAGACGAGTTCTAAAGATTCTCAGATATTTTACTTGAAATATATAGAAAGCTCTCTGCCCATAGGACTCAAAGTTTTGACCTGAATTGCTCTTGGGGTAGAAACAAAACCCCTCTGGTGCTCTAAATAAGAGAACGGTTGTCTTGCTTATTACATTTGCCTTCTACTGGGTATATTGATTTTTCCTGAGCTCTATCAATTTGGGCAGCAAAGTAAAGATTAAATAGTTCAGATGTCTACCCAGAGCAGCAGATTTTGCTCAACAAACAAACAAACAAACAATTCATCTCATGTTCCTTCATCTACTAGAAGCAGCTTATGCCTTTGCTTCTTGGGTGAAAACCACAGAACTGAACAGCAGGGGTGAAGGCAGCTGTGCACCTGCTC